CTGTAGAAAGCTATAGGATGTAGAAATTTGAGATTCCTTGTCCATGAATCTCAAAAAGCTGGCATCCATGTTCAGTATGTAATAGGGAAGACAAATGGAATGTTGGCCTTTATTTCAAAGAGAATGTAGTATGAAAGTAGGAAGGTTTTTCTAAAACTATACAAGGCACTAGTGATAACGCAGCTGGAATACTGTGAACATTTTTGGGCCCCTTATCTAAAGAAAAATATACTGGCATTAGAAGAGGTCCAGACAATGTTTGCTAGGCTAATACCAGGTATGGAGGGACAGTCTTACGTGGAGAGATTTAGTAGGTTGAGCCTGTACCTGTTGGAATTTAGAAGAACGAGAGTTGACTTTATTGAAATCTGCAAGAGTCTTGGGGGACTTGACAGGGAAGATACAGAAAGGTTGTTTCCCTCTTGTATGCGAGTCCAAGACCAGAGAGCATGATCTCAGAATAAGGGGTCACACGTTTATGACAGGGACGAGGAGGAATTTCTTCTGGGGGTAGCGAATCTGAATTCTTTACTACAGAGGGCTATCAAAGCTGAGTCAATAAACATACTCAAGCCTGAGAGAGACAAATTTTAATTAGTAAGGGAATCAAGAATTATGCTGAAAAGGCAGGAAAATTGAAATTGAGAATGATCAGATCAGCCATGATCTCATTGAATAGTGGAGCTGACTCAGTGGGCTCAATGGTCTACTTCAGCTCCTATGTCTTATGTTCTAATCTCATTATTAAGCCACAAAATGCTTTTAAACTGTGGTCAAAAGTCCATAGTGATTTGTAGATCTCAGCTGGGCTGAAATTGGGTTTGAGTATGGGTTGGCTAATGGAGAGGACGAAGGAAATTTTCAGAAAGATTTAACTTTGAATTCTCTTCTGTATCTCTCAGTTAATCAACTGTTTTGGGCAAGAAAAGTAAATTGAGTTCTTGGAATTGATAATGAGGATGCTTAAGGAAGGTGTTGAATAATACTTGTTTGACTTCCTGAAGTCTGTATATGTCCTACCAAGAATCCATGATTATTATTTAACTCCTGTATTTGCACTGGTGTTTTATAATAATTGCCTGTTAATAACTGTGCAAGAATTACTTACGGTGACTGGAATTATAAACTAAAGTTTCATTTGGGTATTTATCCCTTAATTCTACAGGCCATTGTATATTGTTGTGAAGTTAGTAGAGCACTTGTGAATTAGAAGGCAGGACTGTTAGAATTTGTTTGCAAAAGTGATAGGGGGAAGAGTGTATCATCTTTTTAAGAGCTGATGGGCTTTTCTAAGCTTGGAGATTTAAAAAAAAGTCTGTAAGCAGCTGCAGATGCACAGACAGTGCTGAAATTGAAACATATTTATCAATGGGCTGTGTTGTTGGCAACCTAGGCTTGTTTTGATCTTAAAGCAACCAACTTGAGTATCAGTCAATTGTAAGAAAATTGACAGGTTATCAAGGGTATATAAGAAGAGGGTTTTTGAAAATCAGTGTAAGAGCGAACTGCCATCAGAAGAGTAAAACTCTAGCTCTCAGAGAAATCTTTAAGCTCTTTGATTAAGCACCATCTAAAAGGTATCATGGTACTCTTAGCTAATATTTCTGACACAAAGATTCAACAAAGAAAGAATTCCTGACTGGAGAATAGCGGAAAAGGCACGGAACATTCCAGAAGACGTATCCTGACTGTAGTTTTGAGAGTATAGGTTTTAATTTAACTTTTCTTATTACTTTGGTTTATATAAGTGGGATTTGTATTTATTGGAACAGCATGCCATTAGAATTTTGTTCTGTTTGGGAATAGTTAGTTGTTAAGGGGGAATTGTTTAGTTTGTTAGCAGGTCTGTTAATTTGCTCACTATTTAGAGTTCAATAAATAAATTGTTACTCCTGGCTTATAAAGTGAGTATCAGGGATTTCTTTCATTTAACTTCCTTTATTATAGATTGGGAGGTGAAAGGCAGAACCATTTTATCCATTTTCTATAGCAGGTTATGAGGTGAGGCGAGCTTCTCTGGGTGTTTAGGTTTTAATTATCAGAGGGGTTCGACCTCATCGCCCTAACAATCTATATGTGTGTATATATCATAATATATCAATTGTTTCTAGCAATGCTTCTGTTGTAAAATTCAGTAGTTTTATAAACTCTTATCATAAGACAACCTTTTGCTGCTCTCTTGTGGTCCATAAAAGGAACTGTCAGTATATTCATTTGCAGATTTACTTCTATATACTTTTCAAGTGTGTGATTTGAATATGATTTTCACGATATTTCAGAAAGAAAAATTGTATAACATTTTGGGAGCAAAATTTGAAAAGAGGACCATAAACCATCTGTTTTCTGCTTAAATCCTAATTAATAATGTAATTACATAGATACTTACAGCTTCAGTAATGTGCAGCAAACTTAAAATTCCAAATATTCATAGCGCTGTTTGGAAAGGAAAAAAGATGTCTTAATTTTAATTTACAATATTTTGTTAGTCAGATTGGTTGCTCCAGGAAGTGTGTGTATTGAAACCCAAATATTGGAACATGGAGCTTAAATGGATTTGTCATAGTTCAATTGAGAATCTAACTCTAAAATGGAGCACTAAGCACTGAATACTGTTGACCTAACTGTAGACATGAATAGAAAAAATATTTGGTAAGCCACCATTTGTAGTTTGCTACCAAGTCCTACAAGTTTACAAATTTACAGTTCAGTGCTCTGAGCTATACTTTTGTGCAACAAGTGATTGTGTACTTCAGATACTTTAATTTACTATTTTATAGGGCATAAACTGGAATGCTTTTAGAGATAAGTGTAATTGAATCAAAGACAACAAGGTGCAGGGCTGGATGAACACAGCAGGCCAAGCAGCAGCATAGGAGCAGAGAGGCTGACGTTTCGGGCCTAGACCTCTGTAATTGAATCAAGTTGATTTCAATAGTGACACAGTCTCCTGTGTCAGAAACAAAAGCAGAAGTCACTGGAAAAGCTCGGCAGGTCTGGCAGCATCCGTGAAGAAAAAAATCAGAGTTAACAATTTGGGTCCGCTGACCCTTCCTCAGAACTGACGGTAGCTGGGAAAATGTCAGTTTATATGGTATTATATTCCTGTGTCAGAAGGCCTGGGATTCAGGTAATATCATAGTGTGGAGTACAAGGTTGAAGCTGATGGTTCAACATGGAGAGAACACTGCGTTTTTGAATATGACACCTTTCAGATTTCATTATCTGTAAAACAGCTTCCGGTCTTGTCTAGTGCTAATCTTTCAACCAGCAGCCACAAAGCAGATTAACTAATTGTTGGATCTGTCTTGCTGCTGGCATAAAGTTTGTATGAACAAAATTAGTAACGCATTTGACTTCTTCACCAGACCTACAGACGGGAAGAGAGATGGTGAGATGACTTTTTTCTCCTTGCTTCTGACCTGTCAGCTGTTTGTAACTGGATGTATTTTAGAGGGAGTGTTTTGAATGTTACAACTTCCTGTGATAGCAGAAAGCCTGTTTCATGCTTACATTTAACTCTGAAGAAAAAAGCAATGCTTATTGGTGCATAGGTCCAAAAAGTAATGAAATGAAACACCCTCACCCCATCATGCACACGTGCTCATGTGCGTATTTTATACATACATATGTATATACATACATACACAATTTTAAATGAAATTTAAAAATTTTAGTCCATTAAAATGGATGCATTGCATGTCTGGATGGTTTGCTCTCAACGTTGTTTGGATGAATGGAAGTTGGAGGCCTCTGGGTGTCCATATGAGCCTGTGGCTGAATTTCTGTATCTGTAAATCTTTGCAGGCAAAAAAAAACTTGGACCCTCTTGTGCTGCTTGTATTACCTGGTTATTGGCAGGGCTTTGTTCTGACTGGAGGAATAGTTGGTTTCTCTTGGTCTGTTATTTTCAGGAGTGCCTGTTTTCCCTGCAATTCTTGGGATAATGAGAAAAGTTATTTGTAGTTAGTTTTGTCACATGATCAATGCTTTTAGTGTCTAGCCAGAATGATTTAAAGTTGGAAGCCATTACTTTACAATGGAGAATGAATGGTTGTCATTCACACCTATTTTTATGATTTGACAGGTTTCTCAGTTGCTGTTTTGCTGTTAAATTTTGAGTTCAGAGCCAATAAATTTTGGAGTCTGAGTTTTGAGTATCATAGAATCACAGAAGTGTTATGGCACAGAAGGAGGCCATTCGACCCATCATGCCAGCATCATCTTGTTAAATGAGCATCATTACCTAGTGTCAATCACTTGCTTTTTCTCCATACCCTTGCACATTACTTCTGTCCGAATAACCATCTAATGCCTCCTCACATCTCTCAGAAGACAAGCTATTAATTCAAGTTTTTGTTTAATTGATTACCAACTTTGCCCAGCTTGGGATTCTAGCCTGTATCTCCAGAGCACTGGCCTGAAGCTCTGAATTACTACCTAATGACATTGTCATGATGCAACCATCTCTGCCATGATTAATAGAAAACAGATTCCAGAGATTAGTTTTTGTCTTCATATGACCATTCAAGGGCTACCTCGCCCATGATCAATCAATTACAAACTTTTTGGAGACTTGAGATAATGTATTCAAAAGTTGTAGTTACTGACCCTCAGCAACCATCTTAGCAACCCTTTGACGTAAATTTGTAAAAGAGATGGCAGTTTCAGAAACTGCTATAGTGAATACAGTCTGTGCTTCATGTTATGAATATGATACAATTTCACTGGCATGACACAGTGAGCACACAGCTAGAAAACATGAGATACTGCAGAAGTACTTTTTTTCTCTTGTATTGAAAATGTTGTATAATGGTGATAATAAGAACCTCTTTATTTGGGGGATAAAACACGAACTTTTATTTGTTGTGTTCTTACAAATTTCTTGCCATTTTCTAATTTGTTTGACTGGTTTTGTCTTATGATATTGATATCATCACACTGAAATAGGAAGACCATACTCAAGTCCTTTGTCATTTCAACTTTCTATCTTTTGTTTTCAGGGAAATCCAGTTGCTCAGGAGACTACGACACAAAAATGTAATCCAGTTGGTAGATGTGCTATATAATGAAGAAAAGCAAAAAATATATCCTTTTTTTGTGACTTGTGAAATATTCCATACTAAGTTCTGCAAGAGAGAGTTGCATTATCAGTAGGTTTTTTGAAGTTCTTTTAGATATGTGAGTAGGGAAAATTGGATTAGCTATCTTTATTTTGGAATTTTCCAAGTAATAGGCATGGCTTGTCCATTGTGTAACTAGTTGTAGTTTATGCTGCCTCTGGGTTGAGGTACAATGATTTCTTTTTAAACGAGCAACATATATGTCCTGCATAATTTTCTAATTAATATGTTCACCAGTAATTCAGTTTTTGCTTTGTCTATTTATTCTGCAGTAAGTGTTGAAGTTTAACTCAGTTGTAAGTTGGGAAACTGAAAAACGATAGTAGGTATAAACCCCCACTGCACAGTTTGTAAGAAATCCATCATGGATAACTTATGGTCTAAGGTAATTTCGTTGTTGAATAAAATGGTACTTGTTCAGGTTATAACAATATATATTTCCCAATGGAGACAGAGTCAATTGTTGCATTAAAAGGGGAATTGAATAATTATCTGAGTATGAAAACAATTGCAGGGCAATGGGGCACAGGTATCGCATTGGAACTAGCGTGAGTTCTTTTTACTGAGAGTTTGAATGGATACTACACGCTGAATAGGTTCTTTCTGTGCTGTAAACATTCTATGATTCTAAGAATGACTCTTTCAAAATAACTAATTATCTGATTTAATATTATGCCAAATCAGCTCCATGAATAATATCTGCGTCACTCGGAGATAGTAAGAACCGCTGAAGGGGAAGGTCTCAATGCGGACTTTACCAGTTTCAAAATCTCCCCAACCCCGGCCTCATCCCATCTCTCTCATCCCCACGTCCTTGAACTGACACAGCCTGTCCAACTTCTCTCCCACCTATCCGGTCCTCCCACCCCACCGACCAATCCCCACCACTGCCTACCAGCACTCACCTATCACCATCCCACCTACCCTTCCCAGCCCCACCCATCCTCTATTTATTTTGGAGCTCCCTTCTCCCTCCCCCATTTCTGAAGAAGGGTCCCAACCCGAACCATCAACTTTCCTGTTCCTTTGATGCTGCCTGGCCTGCTCTGCTTCTCCAGCTCCACACTGTGTTATCTCTTACTCCAAACACTGTGTAGTGAGAAGAAAATGTATTGTCAACTATAGAGAGATGCCTTGGCACACACCTGAACAAATTAGCCAGCTCTGATCTTACTAGTGATTGACTATTTACTACTCTAAGTAATAAATACATTCTTTACATTTTGTTTTCTTTCATACAAAAAGTTCTTTCAGACCAATAACATTTAAAATATTTCTAACAAGGAGACCAATCATTTTAAAAAAAATTCTGTGACGTGGTTCTCTTGTTCACATATTGGATGTGACACAATGAATAGTACTGACTTAACGTGGTTGGAATAGATTTAGGCATCAATTCTAGTGAGCAAAGTTATCAATTGAGGCGAGGGAAAGAAAATGCAAGCAAGTTTATGCATCACTGAGCATATACAATGCATAAATGTACATTCATCTGTTGATCTCATAGAATTTAAGAAGGAAGTTTTGTTACCTTTACTGCTTATATGTAAAGTAGTATAGCCAATTAAACGTGTGACTGGATCTCTGGTTTTAGATATAAATGAAAATTGTATCTAAACAGAAAATGATCTCCTAGCTTAATAATGCAATTGCTCCTGTTTTCAGTACTCTGTTTTATAAGACCATAAGATAGGAGCAAAGTTAGGCCATTCAGCTCATCAGGTTTGCTTCACCACTTAATCATGTATTCTCAACCCCATTCTCCTGCCTTCTCCCCTAAACCCTTGAACCCCTTACTAATCCCAAACCTATCTATCTCTGCCTTAAATACACTCAGTGGCATGACTTCCATAGCCTTCTGTGGCAATGAGTTCCACAGCATCCTCTTGCTAAAGAAATTCCTCGTCACCTCAGTTCCATAGGGTTCTGTCTTCACTTTGAGGTTGTGCCTTTGGTCCCATTCTCACCTGCTAGTGGAAACATCTTCTCCATGTCCATTCTATCCAGGGCTGTCAGTAGTTTGTAAGTTTCAATCCGCCTCATCCTGCTAAACTTCGAGTACAGACTCAGAATCTTCAACTGCTCCTCATATGACAAGCCCTTCATCCCTGGTATCATTCTTCTTTTTCGACCCCGTCCAATCTCAGCACTTAGCTATGAGACCCAAAACTGCTTAGTGTTCCAAATGCGGTCTGTCTGGAGTTTTACATAACATCAGCAGTACATTTCTGCTCTTGTACTCTAGTTCTATTGAAGATACTTTAATATTTGAAGATCTGAGATTATTTCCATTCAGCACTCTTCAGGAATTAAATAACTTTTTTTTAAGGATAGAATTTGTAAGCATTAATAAAATGGCCTTCAGTTTAATTTGAAGCTTCAATTTATACATTACTAAAATGCCTTTTACAGCTGATATTTATTTCAATGAATGTAATCTTAACCATTGATGAAATGTTTTAAGCCAGTTTTCTAAAGTAGGTGCAAGTATTTGTTATTACTCCACACCTTCAAAGGAACAAGACAGATGTGGTGTGACTTCAAAATGGAAAGTATTGAACTTTTAAAAAGTCATTTTTAAAGCACATGATTCTAAAAATTATTTCAGAAAGCTGCTTTTGTTGAGTAAGGAAACCAGCAGCTAATTACTTGGCTCCAGATGGTAGTTTAATGCAATACCTATGTGTTTATCTTTGTTCAATACTGTTATGTTCAAGAGGGTATTTGGTAATAAATTGACATATAGCATTTCCTTGACATTACTAACGTATATGGTAATGGAGTATTGCGTGTGTGGAATGCAAGAAATGTTGGACAGTGTCACAGACAAGAAATTCCCAGTATTTCAAGCTCATGGGTAAGGAACTTACTTTCATTACCATATGGTAGGAAAGGCTTTTCTATGTTTAACTAAGTCAGTTTTACATACCCTCTGTATCTCCGGCTCAACCACTTTTAACTTTTTCTCATTTCCATACCCCATGAATCACTTCTCCTTTGTGTCCCAGAAAACATTGGTTACCAGAAAAACCTGAATTCTAATATTAGGGTGGGGATTGTGGGGATATTGATGGGGGTGGTTGGTGGGGAGATGAGGTCAATGTTGCCATAAGAAGGGCTTTTTCAGTCCCTTTAAATGCCTTGCTGTGATTAGGTAGAAAGGAGTCGAATGTCTCCCTGCATTGACCTTGCCTTGTTGGAACATTAGTTTTTTTTGTTAAAAAGGATATTTGTTAATTCAGTGAGGACTTAATTGTTTACATTTGTGATCATATAAATGTCAGAAGAGAGGTTTTCATGTCTTTGTGACAGTGTGTAAACACTTCTTGATTTAAAACATAACTGTTAAAATGTAACCTGTCCCATAATTTTAATATATTGTTGTCCTAACTGCATGCTGTTTCCTCTTCACGCCTGTTTTATAACCTTTCTTAGTTGAGGTTTTCTGATGCCAAAAGGGCAACGGGCTACCTGGATGTTTGTGTTTGATTGGCAATATAATGTAGAGCATTCAAAAGAGCAGCATAACATCTGAATTTGTTTGGTATTGTCACTGTATTCTTCAACCTGTAGCAATGTATCTACCTTCAATTTTGCTTCCATCAATGAGGAGTAAAGTCGAATTGGGGATTGAGCCTGGCTTGGCATATGACCATGTGTAGAATTAAAAATTTATATCTGTTAACCCCTAAAGCATTTGAGTCCAGTCTGCTATTACTCTCACCCTTTGACCTTTGCAGATGCTGGGAGGAAACCAAATTCTCTTTAGCATTATATGGATATAAAGTAATATGGAAAAACGTATTTGAAGACCATAAAATATAGGAGCAGAACTAAGCCGTTTAGTCCACTGAGTCTGCTCTACCATTCAGTCATAGCTGTTTCTCAACCCTATTCCCTGCCTCCTTTGCCTAACTCTTGATCCCCTACTAATCAAGAACTGTCTTAAATGCTGTCAATACCTTGGCCTCCACAGTCCTTTGTAATGAGTTCCAGAAATTAACCACTCTGGCTGGAGAAATTCCTCCTTACCTTAGTTCTAAAGGATCAGTCCTTCTGAGGCTGTGCCCTCGGGTCCTAGTCTCTTGTAGTGGAAACGTCTTCCCCACTCTATCCAGGCCTCTCCGTATTCTGTAAGTTTCAGTGAGATTTCCCCCCATCATACCTCTAAACTACATCGAGCACAGACCCAGACTCTTCAACTGTTCCTCATATGGCAAACCTTTCATCTCCAGGATTATTCTTGCAAGCCTCCCATGGACCCTCTCCAATGCTAGCACATCCTTCCTTAGATAAAGGGCCCAGATCTGCTCACAAAATTCCTAACCAGACCTTATACAGCTTCAGCAGTACGTCCCTGCTGTTGTATTCTAGCCCTCTCACAATGAATGCTAACATTATGTTTGCCCTCCTAATTGCTAACTGAATCTGCATGTTAATGTAGAGAATCCTGAATCAGGACTCCTTTTGAGCTTCAAATTTTTGAAGCCTTTCCCAGTTTAGAAAATAGTCTATGCATCTATTCTTCTGACCAAGATACATAACCTCTCACTTCCCCAGATTGTATTCCATCTGTCTGATAAATATTAGAGAATGTAATAGTTGCTGGTTCAATTTTTAAGTTTAATTTTTTAAGGAATTTTGCTTATGTCAGTGTGATGGTGTAGCAAATTAAGGGCTTGAACAGTAGTCAGTGCTGAGATTGAAACTGAATAGGGTAATTTATTGGGCACTTATATCAGTGATCATAATGATATGCATGCACTTGTCTATTATGAGTAAAGAATTCATTTCAGTACAGTTTTACGTTTGTAACTGTTGATGTATCCTTCATATTTTAATGCTGTGAAGGTTGGACTATATTTCTTAATATTTTGCATTGATTTAATTAGATTTGTCTTACTCAATATGTTTTTGTATGTTTCTTTCTCAATAATTTGGGCAGGTACTTCTGCCAATTGATTGATGGTCTAGAATATTTGCACAGTCAAGGAATAGTCCACAAAGATATTAAACCAGGCAACCTACTGCTAACAACGGATGGCACTTTGAAAATCTCGGACCTAGGAGTAGCTGAAGTATGTATCCTGGTTTTTAGTCTGCCATATAAGATGCATATTTTTCATTTAACATTGCCTGTTGTAATATCTATCATTACTATCATGTTTTTGCAAAGAATTCATTTCATGTTCCATTTCTTAATTAATGCATAAGTATAATCTAGAATTTTCAGTGTTTTGCTGGTTCCTGAATAGCACTGTAGAGAATTTTTATTTTTAGCGTAATTTTGTACGTAGAAAGGAAAGTTGGAAAACATTTTTCTGATTTGGAATAGATGGCTAACCTTGATTTCTTCAAAAGGTGAGGAAAGCTTAAAGGGTTTCAGTTTTGCCAAGAAGTATGCAGTCACATACAGACAGTACTTGGCAGTAAACCATATATAAGGAAAGGTTGAGTTAAAACCTGGTCCTTTATCAGATCAGTCCCCAATGGTGAGAGTTGAATACCTTGGAATTTGATTGATCCTTCAGTATGATTCAACACTGGAAGTGCAAACCACTTCTCGTCCATGTATAATAACTTTGGTCTCACCATCAAATGAAAAAAGACTGAAATGTTCCAGCCACAGCCATAAACCCAGTTTGTGAAACTAACTACGACAGTTAGTGATCTAATGCTTGAAGCAATTGACAAATTTCCCTACTGCAGCAGCACTCTGTTCCATGTTGTTCATGTCGATGTCAAGATCACCTCCAAAGTAGCAAATGGTGATATGAGCATTATCTTTACCAAGCTGCAAAAAATTGTCTGGAAACGAAGAGGAATCAGTTTCAACAAAAATTAAGATCTACAAACTAGTTGTACTTCTCACTCTCTTGTATGCTTGTGAGGTGTGGCCACTTTATTCCAGGCATGCAAATGAGCTACACGACTTTCACAAGATCTGCTTTTGGAAGCTGCTCAAAATCGGATATCAAGACAAGATTCCTAACGCTGACGTATTTTCCAAGACTGTTATGCTTAGGATCTACAATCTGCTGTAGAAAGTTCAGATGAGGTTGGGAGGACATGTTGCCAGAATGTTTGATGAGCGCTTGCAAAAAAAGATCTTCTATGGTCAGCTAATTGAAGCAAAATATTCAGAGGCCAGAGAAAGTGCTTTAAGAACAAGCTGAAGCTTCACTGAAAAGTTCCAATGTCACTTCTGAGACATGGGAAACCCTCATACAGGATCACTTTTACAGGCACAGTCTCATCAGCAAAGGTGCCATGTCAGTGGACAGTGTAATGATGAGCTGTTAGTGTGCCATTTAGGGATTCACTAACTTTATTTGTAAGACCTAAGTCCATTAGAATAATAGGTTGAATTTAGAGAACTAGTCTACAGGTTTACTGGTCTTGATTATTCCAAAACCTTTTCCAGGATCTTTCAAATCACAAAATTCAATACATTTATTAAAACACATACAAAATAAATAATAATTGATAAAAGTGGTTATTTTTCAGTTGAAACGCTTTGAGCTGTCTCATCACAACACTGGTTGTTTGGGCACACATCTGTTGCTGTTTCTTCTTGACTGAAGCTCTGCTTCTTCAATCTTCCTTTCTTGTGCATGAAATCACCACTTATAATGCTTATTGGCCACTTTTTCCCTTTGCATAATCAGACCTCCTGAACTTTTGGCTTTCCAATACATGAACAGCACATTGTCAGTCCCAGATTGCTCAAACTGTGTAATGCCCAATTTCTAAATTATTTTAAGAATAATAGTCATCTTAGTGACTCCACTTCCTACTGTACAGAGTCATTCCTTGACGTATCAGTCACTTTTGTTAGATCACACCTTTTGTAATTGCTCGTCTGTATTAGACTGCCAACTTTTTTACATGCTTACAACTTGGCACCAATGAAGTCACTTATGTGTGTGCTGAGGATTATGTCATGTCAAGTTCCAGTATGTAATACAGCTCCAAATGTCTCAACTGATACATCTGAATGTTTTGAAAAATGTCAAGGTCTGTCAGTTCATCAGTGTGTAACTTCACCATGACAGTGGTGTCTAAGACAAGTTAATAATAATAAAAGTTCAAGCTTCTCAGGCTTAACAATCTGTGCAAAGTATATAAAAAAAAAAATCAGTGTATTATAATTAATGTTCTTGATTACACAGAAAATACAACTGGGGAGTGGTGACGTAATGGAGATCTCACTTGGCCAGAAATCCAGAGACCCAGCATAATGCTGGGGGTTTGAATTTCACCATGGCATTTGAATTCAAAAAAATTCTGGAATTAAAAGATGGCCTAATGGCAACTACTACTGTCAACTATTGTAAAAACATATCTGGTTCACCAGTGCCCTTTCAGGAAGGAAATCTGCTGTTCTTACCTGTTCTGCTCTACATATGGCTCCAGACCCACATGGTTGACTGCCTCTGAAATGGCATTGCAAGTCACTTGAGAGCAATTAGGGATGGCCAACAGATGCTTGCATAGACAGCAACATCCACATCCCGTGAATGAATTATAGAACATTCATTTTAATAGGTCAAAAAAACCACAAGATGCAACACAGAATGTAATTCCAAAGTAGTGTATGCATATACATGCACAAGTCTGTTACATACATCACTTACAGAACTCAACCACTTTAAACATGGCTGTGTTCTTGAGTAAGAGCATTTTACATCAAAATATTTTCATATTTATTAGTACAAGTTTAGATAGAACGATAAAAACATAAAATATTCACCATTGAGAGGGACCTTGACTTTTGTGAGGACAGCATGAAGTAGGCAGATATGCATGAACAGTTTGATATTAGGGAGGAGGATGTGCTAGAAATGTTGAAAAACATGAGGATAGATAAGTCCCCTGGGCCAGACGGGATATACCCAAGGTTAATACGGGAAGCGAGGGAAGAGATTGCCCGTTTGGCAATGATCTTTGTGTCCTCACTGTCCACTGGAGTAGTACCAGAAGATTGGAGGGTGGCAAATGTCATTCCCTTGTTCAAGAAAGGGAATAGGGATAATCCTGGAAATTACAGACCGGTCAGTCTTACTTTTGTGGTGGGCAAGTTATTGGAGAGGATTCTGAGACATAGTATTTATGATTAGTTGGAAGAGCACAGTTTGATTAGAAATAGTCAGCATGGCTTTGTGAAGGGCAGGTCATGCCTCACAAGCCTTATTGAATTCTTTGAGGATGTGACAAAACACATCAATGAACGTAGAGCAGTGGATGTGGTGTATATGGATTTTAGCAAGGCATTTGATAAGGTTCCACATGGTAGGCTCATTCAGAAAGTAAGGAGGCATGGGATTCGGGGAAATTTGGCTGTCTGCATACAAAATTGGCTGTCCAGTAGAAGACAGAGGGTGGTAGTAGATGGAAATTATTCAGCCTGGAGCTCAGTGACCAGTGGTGTTCCGTAGGAATCTGTCCTGGGACCTCTGCTCTTTGTGATCTTTATAAATGACTTGGATGACAAAGTGAAAGAGTGGGTTAGCAGGCTTGCCGATGACATGAAGGTTGGAGTTGTGGACAGCACGGAGGGCTGTTGTAGGTTGCAACGGGACGTTGACAGGGTGCAGAGCTGGGCAAAGAAGTGGCAGATGGAATTCAACCCAGAAAAGTGTGAAGTGATTCATTTTGGAAGGTCAAATTTGAATGCAGATTACAGGGTTAATGGCAGGATTCTCGGCAGTGTGGAGGAACAGAGGGATCTTGGGGTCCATGTCCATAGATCCCTCAAAGTTGCTACCCAAGTTGATAGGGTTGTAAAGAAGGCGTATGGTGTGTTGGCTTTCATTGGCAGGGGAATTGAGTTTAAGAGCCATGTGGTTATGCTGCAGCTCTATAAAACTCTGGTTAGACCACACTTGGGATATTGTGTTCAGTTCTGGTCACCTCATTATAGGAAAGATGTGGAAGCTTTAGAGAGGGTGCAAAGGGGATTTACGAGGATGCTGCCTGGACTGGAGGGCAGGTCTTATGAGGAAAGGCTGAGGGAGATAGGGCTTTTTTCATTGGAGCGAAAAAGGATGAGAGGTAAGTTGATAGAGGAGTACAAGATGATGAGAGGCGTGGACAGAGCGGATAGTCATAGACTTTTTCCCAGGGCGGAAATGACTATTACGAGGGGGCATAATTTTAAGGTGATTGGAGGAAGGTATAGGGGAGATGTCAGAGGTAGGTTCTTCACACAGAGTGGTGGGCGTGTGGAATGCGCTGCTGGCAGTGGTAATGGAGTCAGATACTTTGGAGACTTCTAAGCGCCTCTTGGATAGACACATGGAGGACAGTAAAATGTAGGGTATGCAGGGTAGATAGATCTTAGTAGGATAATAGGTTGGCACAACATCATGGGCCGAAGGGACTGTACCATGTTCTAAATCATAAATCAGTGACTTGACTTTTGACTTGGGCTACATGGCTATTCTTCCTTTGAAATATTTTTACAGCTAACCACAATTAAACAAAATAATAGTTTAATTCCTCACGTGTTTAATCAATTATCGAAAAACAAATCAATCCTACCGTTCCAATCTTGAGGCTGAAAAATGCTTGAGTATTTGATTTCCCTCTGAACCTACTAACACCGTACTAATTCACCTTATGTACCTGAATAGATTTGCATGCTCCAAACTTGTAAATAGAACCATAGGTCATTTCCTTCCAGAATTTTTTAAATGTTCATTTGGTCTGTTCAAAATTTCCAAGTTCTATTGTCTTTTCTTCAACTCCTTCCTTCCTTATTTCCATCTGGTAGATATTCCCTATTTTTCTAACCTGTTCATTATTCAACACAAACTGCTTTAACTTTGTTCTTTTCTTCTCAACTGTTGGTTTAAATTTTGTCCAAATTATGAAATCAGTTTCTCTAGGAAATATGCATCAATGCTTTAATGATGTAAAAATCATGACATTGTCAAGTAGCTAAATATATTTACAGAGATATTAGGAACTGCAGATGCTGGAGAATCTGAGATAACAAGACATTTTTCCCTCCCCACCCTTATCTGCTTTCCGGAGGGACGACTCTCTCCATGACTCCCTTGTCCGCTCCACACTC